CCAAGGGAGTGGAGAGGGAGGCCCCTGGGCAAGCCTGGGATCGAGGCTCCTCTCATCCGGGATGGGACCAACTCCCCGCTGTCCATTCTCACTGGCACACGTGGAAGTGAACAGGGAAACTGCAAAATGGGTCTAGCAGGACTGGTTTCTGAAACCTACTGCTCTCGTGCTCCAGCTCCAGGCCCAAGAGGGGCTGGCACAGAGCTGCGGGCTCACCGACTTCTTGAACTCTGCGGCCTCCTGCGACGCAGAAAATATTCCAAACCACACAGAAGCCTGCCTTTCCCCCTCCTCCTGGACATCACCAGAAAGGTGTTACAAGGACATGGGGGTGAGCAGGTCTGGGGCACTAGGCACATCACACGGGGAGGAGAGGCCCCTGCACACAGGCCCCCCATCCCAGCCCCCATCCTGGCCATCCAGCCCCTACCCCAGCTGTGGAGACTTTCTCTTGGGGGGGGGAGGTTGGATTACTCCCCAAGTCTGTTTTTCCATCTGAAAAATGAGGCAAGTAAGGGTTGATATGAGGATGGAATAAAGCAATAAATATTAGGTTGAAACAAACATTTGCCTAAAATGACAGATTGCCAGATTTGCCAGATTGACCCAAAAGGGCAAATAAGGGACGTGTGAATGGAGCTTGCCCGGTGGGTCCGCTGGGGAAGGAGCTGCACCCTTTCAGAAGTCGTCCAGCCGGAGCAAATGTGGTTCCAGTGAGCCCTAAGGCCAGGCCTTGCCCTGAGCAAACACACTCCTCCCCAAAACCAAACAGCAAGGGGCTGTGGACCTCCAGCGCTCACCCTAACATCTAGTGTTCCCAAGGGTAGGCACAGGCCCAGGGTGGCTCAAACTTCATGCTCAGGAACTTGTTCCATCCTTGCTGTGACTCCCTGATCTCTGTGCCCTTGACCCCCCGCTGGCAAATAAAGACGCATGAGCCCAACAGCACATAGCTGTGCACGAGGCAGCTGGAGGCCCAGGGCACCCCCACGCCCGGGGAGGTAGAGAGCCGTTTCCAACGAACAAGGGGCAAGCTGGCCTCTCCTAGAGACAGACACCAACTCCCAAAGAGCAGGACAGTCCCAGAGCAGGACGGTGCCAGGTGGCCTCCCCGAGGGCAGACTTTGGGGAGCCTCTGTGCCAGGGTGGGAGGTGTGGGGCTCCAGGAAGCCCCAGTGCAGAGTCATCTCTGCAGGCTCCTCGGCTCAGACCCATTCCTGGGAGGGACCCTGGAAGCTGTTGAGAGGGACACCCTGAACGAGAAAGATCTTCAGGGCACACCGAACACCGAGCTAAGAGCAGAGGCCCTCTGGGGAAAGGGGGTCAGCCTCGGATGAGTTCCATCTGCATGGTACGGATGTGGGAGCTCTCGCTCTGCTCAGCCCCTGCGGGGACAGCAGGATCTCGGCCTCCATGCCTTCCTCTACCACAGTCGGCTCCCGATCACACCAACCCATCAGCTGTGTGGCTCTGCCTCTCTCACAGG